TCACTTTCAATTATGTGTGAAGCGAGGTCCTAAAAACGTGAAATGGTACGACGATCAATATCTGCAATGCTACCATGGAATTGAGCGATTGTTTGAAAATTTTTAAACTTCTCGTCGCTCTTCTTCGTAGCCAAACTATTACAATAGAAGTAGTTTACTATCTTCGAAGTAGCCGCTGTTTGTGAGCAGCATTCAATTTCTGTAGTGAGCTAGACAGCTCGTTTTCACATTATTTTAGCAATAGATTACATGATTTAGCTTTTGGAATAATCGGCGGACTGGCAGCTACTGGATTCTCCGTTGTGAAGCTCACCAGCGCAGAGGTTGCAGCGCCGTGTTACATTCAGTACATTCGACAAGGTACTTCGCGGGTTATAAAGACAGTACAGTTTCAGTTGTTCTCGTTTCTGTGAACCATTTTCTACAGCATCACCTTTTCGGAGTTTTGAGAGCAGCCGTATAAGATATTATAGTAAAGCTCCTTGTCAGTCGAAGAACTGATAAGCGTGAAGAGGGCCTATCGGGAGATCAGACTGAAGACCACTTGCCCCGATTCTCTGGCCAGGCCTGACGGTACCGTAACATACAGCCAAGAGGAGATGGCCGAGCTGATTTGCAACTTTTACAGCAACCTCTTTGGCAGTCAGGTAAAGGTGGAGCCTACCGAGAAACGATGTGACGGATCAGACGAAGGTATTCCACCGATCCTACGAGCAGAAGTGCTAGCTGCTCTTGGCCAGATGAAGAAGGGCAAGGCACCGGGACCAGATCGTGTGAGAGTGGAGAGTCTCTCCATGCTGGCTGAGGAGATAGTGGACCCTCTCCGCGTGTTGTTCGACCGCATATTGCGCGAAGGAGTAATCCCGAGCGCTTGGAGGGGCTCTACTACGCTGCTCATTCACAAGAAAGGACCGCAGCACGATCTTAACAACTTCCGCCCAATATGTCTCCTGTCCCAGGTGTTGAAGGTCTTCTCCCGCCTTGTCCTCAACAGAATACGCCGTTGCATCGACGAATACATGAGTGTAGAACAAGCCGGGTTCCGTTCATGCTTCTCCACTATTGACCATATTCATAATATCACAGCTGACGGAACGTTGCCGCGAGTACCGCACCCCACTGTGTCTTCTGTTTATCGATTTCAAAAAGGCCTTCGACACAGTGGAGCATGAGAGTGTATACAACGCCATGCGCGAGTGCGGTATCCCCGAGCCCTATATTAGAATCACGCGGCAGTGCAACACGGACTGTTATACCGATATCAAACTCATAAAAACACCGGTCCGTGTTCAAATCCGGCGCGGCGTCAGACAAGGCGAGGTTACGTCCCCGAACTTGTTCGCTATTGCGCTCGAGAACATCATGAGGCGAATCTCGTTGCCCGGAGGAGTGAACATCGACGGCGTTCGCTTAACGCATCTCCTCTTCGCTGATGACTGTGTTCTGATAGGCGAGGACCCCGCCGACCGCCGACATTGCGCAATCCCTGAGCCTCATCATGAAAAGCCTGCGAAATTGGCTTTGTCATCCGACCAGGAAAAGACTCAGTGGATTGCATAACAGCACGTTCACTAAAGCCGATCCGCATAGAAGACTACAGAGATCGAGCGGTCTCTACGTATACTCTCGGAAAAGCGTCAGCATGAAGCACAACCTCAGCGCTCGAAATTAGTGGACGCCCGCCAGAGCAGCTGGACTCGCTTTCAACAAGCTTCCTAAAAAAGCAGACCTCAACAAATCAAGACCCAGTCACACAAGTGCAGTTACAACCCGCGATCCATGGCGAGGCACTTGTCGGTGAACACTCCGAGAACTGCAAAACCCTGGCGACACCCCTATCTGCGCGCGTATTGATGGTTGGGACGTTTGTGGATGTCTACATTACAAGCGGAGGTGGGCCGGTCATGTGGCTAGGCTCACCGATGATCGCTGGACCAGAAGAGTGATTGCCTGGTATTCCAAGGGGAAATAGAGCCTAGAGGCAGACCCCCACCCGATGGGCAGACCATGTAGTAAAACTTTTAGCGGCAGCTTTTTCCTTTGAATAAATGTCGCCACTCTATTTCCAACTTCTAAGCACCATATCTGAGTACATTTACAATATAGAAGAAAATAACAAACAAGGTTTCGTAGAGCGGAAGAAGTACTTTTAAATGATGTATGTGATTTCCTTGGTAGCACTTGTATTCACTGAGTTTGTAGCTCGAGAAAAAACGGTACGTATATGCACGCAAACAGATTAACAATGGGCTATCAAATGAGACTAAGCCCACGTCACGTGGACATGGGAGGCGGCCTCAATGCGCGGATTCACGCAGAACGGTCGAAGTGCTTTCTGAGAAGACCCAAGAACGATTAGGCCACGCTCCACCATTTTTAGGAGGTCGTATTGACGCGCGAGTGTACGAAGTTTGCATTGTGTTATAATAGTCAGCTTGATTTGGAGCTGATCTCAGTGGTCGCAATTATAAGCGACATCGTCGGCCTGTATTTTTTGAACTTTTTATCATAATAGTGTGAGAATGAAGAGATTTCAATTACAGGTGGTTTGCCGTTTGTCTCTTCACGTGATGGAACAGTCAACTGCTGTGGAACGTTTCAAAATATTACCGTTTCGGGGATCAACCCTGCAGGGTATTGCTCTGCATTCAGATCAGTGTAAAAGAAAGCGGTACGAATTTGAATTAGCGCTTTTTTCGCAATTTGGAGAAGTCCCATTACTCACAACATGAAACAACATATAATTTTAGGATAAACCACAGAAGAACAATGTGGTGACCAGATACCCTCTGATGCCATCGATTTTTGGTACCGCTCGCATCGCTTTTCTTGGCTTATCAGCACAGATTGTATTTTTATCCTTTTTTTAGATTGCTGCCATGATAGCTGGACATGCAACTTGCATCCAACAAGTTTGATGTTTTCAAAATTAGATATGATACAATTGAGCTATCCGGGTCCAAAGCGTTGTATGTAGTCCCATCTCTAACGGTTTCGTTGATAAACTTTCTATTTCCTTTTCATGACTTGTGAGTGACCTTTCCGTGTTCAGTAGCTCACCTACACACGATATGTTCTATGTAGTGAACGTAATTTCGCTGCATCAGTAATACAAATCTACGCAATTGCTACAGTTGAAATGAGCATGGCAGTCACTCATTTTCGTACACTTGTCTCATAGTCAGCCCTTAACCCATTCTTCATATTGATACTATATCGGTGAAAGAGCTGAGGACTAGCAAAGAAGGCAGATCTTCCATCCAAAGTCGAGCGCCTCTTGCGAGTCACTCTTGTGACGAGTGTGCTATACGTCACAGAAATCGGGTTTACGCGATTTCAACACTTCTCTGGGGTCTCGGCGGCCAATCTCTCCAGATGCTCGCAGAACAAGTCCACTGAAAAAGCAGCGACAGTAGCTTGAAGTCCTTGTATTTATGCAGCTCCACTGAAAGGAGATAATACCTTCAAACGAAAATATTATCGGCAATGCCGCAGAGTAAACTGAAAAAAATGTCTGAAATATTTCTTTCATGAATAGAAAATCAAGAATTTGAATACAATTAAGGAACTCATCAGCCTGCAACTTCACATCACTTTGCAACAAGAAAAAAATTCCACGGCCCAAGAACATGCTACGAGGTGATTCAGCACCAGATACCTCTTATTTTATCGGTGACAATATAGCTCGATAAAAATAATATTATACTGTGCCTTCGCATACACAAGTAGAACGGAAAAGATCAAAGACGGCATAGGAACATAACACAGATTTGGAGAACACGTTCAAGTGGAGCAGAAATGTTTGCTCCAAATATAAGTACACTTGGTGTCTGGGAGAAATCTCTGTGTAAGCATAGATCAATCATAAAAACCAGCAAACCAACAAAGGTACAAAAGAACAAAACAATAAGAGCTTTCAACCCTATAGATCCCGATATCATCTGCTTCTGTTTACACATCGGGACCCATTGGATATGCAAGAATACCACCGCAAACCGCACAAATCACCTCTTTTCACGAGAAAAAAATATAGCCTGTAGTGGTCGTCGAGGTCACACTCTACGATTTTAGACTGTCGACTTTTAGACTGACTTCACGAAATTCGGTGCGATTTGATTGCTCCAGGAAAGCGAGTGAAATTTTATGTTTCGCGGGGCAGTAAGCACATGCAAAGAATTGCGCGCTTGGTTGTTACAAGGCGACAGCCCAAGCGTATCCGTTTCATTTTGCGCGGCGATCAAGTGGATACAGTTGAGCTCTAGTCTTGTAAGACGGTGGGACCGATGGAGGAGTTATCACTTCACATACAAAATCATGGGCAGTGTGGAATTTCTGCGAAGGATATGCACTATTGTGACTGGTACATCACTCTAGAAACCGGCCTAACTATATTTTCAACAGATGTGGGATATAAGTTGAGAGTTATCAATGGTATCATCTGAATTAGCAGTAAGAAGCGTATTGAGGATGCAAGATGAAAACGAAAAACTCTCATCAATGAAAGCCCAAATATAAAATTATGCTCATTATTCATGCAGAAAATGCCACATGACAGCTGGAGAGAAAAAAGTGAGAACGTTCTCACGAACAGAGAGGAGGAACCCTCTCGTGCATTGGTTCAATGCAAAAGACGGAGCCGCGATGCACTATCTTAGATGAAACCATCCATTTCTGAGTCGACGGCGAACGCTTTACCAACAAAATCGTCGATGGTAAATATGGGTTTCTTCGTCGGCATTGTCGCCATGATTTCCTACAAAGCCCTTGTATAGCAGAAATAAACACTCAAAGCAGTTAAGTAGACAGACCTTGACAACCTTTCGATTTTCATGGTCAGGTCCGATTTCAAAACTGAATGTGCGGAACGCTTCAACAGGTTCGGAGCACCGTGTGAATCTGAATATATTATCACAGACAACACAAAAGAACACCAAGATTAATGTGTCGAAAAGATAGAAGGTCGAAGTCGATTTGATGTCGTGTAAGAGCACGATGCTTGCACAGACCAGTAGACAAGAATGAAACCGAACAAATGCTCGAGGTAAAACCGGCTTTCAGATATTTGGTATACTCCAAAAGGGCAAAATATAGGTACACGCGCTCCAAAATTATTAGGATGAGCGGAAACTATCTGCCGTTTTTCTCAGACTTACGGCTCTTCGAAATTTTGGTGGATATTTCCGAACATTATGATGTGGTCCGAGAGCCCAGAGTCTGTTGTGCATTTTTTGTGCAACACTTGCGTGTTTGCTTCACTATAGAGCTCACTACAGAAGCAGGAAAGATTGCTCATGCTATTAGGTTGATCGGCAAGTATGCGCTGCATACTTGGAATATTTTTCTACGAAAACTTACTTTGAGATCTGAAGCCCTATATATCGTTGACAGCTATATTCTATCTTCTTTCCTTCAGTATATTTGAAACTCACTTTTACTTGTAATATTACTATTTTATAGAGTTTAACTGAAGGTGTCAAGACAGTAGTTTAGGCAAAATTGCCCCTTTAAAAATGGAGGTCAAAAACCCGCGTTACTTTCCGAACAATCTAATACATGACTACAAGTTGAGCTCGAAAGCGAATGCTACTGTATCTGCTTGTACATTCAACAAGCGTGAGGTAAAGACACGGTTGCAGAGAGGCTGCTAAAGACCGTTTGCCGATGTCGATTAATCATGTGTTGCTGTTTTTGCTTGGTCTTGATAATAAACTTATAGGTGAAATGAGAAAATGACGGATAATTTCTGCTCAACCTAGTTCTTGGGTCGCTCGAGCCACTAATTCTGAAAGCCAGGTATCGATGATGCAGGGTTTTCAACATCACTGCAGTTGGTTATCAATCCACTATATGAAGTCGATAGTTGAGTCAGAGGTTCCTATTAAATGCAGGCGAATTTGGGAGCGAAGAGATACCGTGTCTGCTGTAGTCTACCCTGTCAGACACCAATTCACATGGAACTCATCTAACAAATCGCAACCAACATGTATCGAACCACGCATAATGCCTTGTTATTCAAATTCTACATTCACCGGTCTTAATCTCACTTACCAGGGAAGGCATTCAACTTTCCATGGAACTTTAAATTGAGACCCAGATATATTCGATAGACGCTTCAAAGATCTATTCACAATATGGGAGGAAATAAGATGCATAATGAAAGCCGCATGCCGCGGGGCGGGACTGCCGGGGTGTTAAGGGAAGTTGTGAGCAGTCAAACTTGGCTGAAGGATGAAGCGCTACGTAACAACTGTGGTAGTCTCCGGGCTTTCAAAGTCGCCGTGTAGTAGTGGTAGTGCTCTCGAAATTTGCACACCAACGGGAGGAGAACTTAAGACCTTCTGGGTAAGGAGCGAGGGCACTACCACTACTACACGGCGACTTTGAAAGCCTGGAGGCTACCACGGTTGTTACGTAGCGCTTCACCTTCAGCCAAGTTTGACTGCTCACAAGCTTCCTTGGCAGTTTCATTTTGCAGTTTTAGTTTCCATATTTGTATGATCAGCCTTTGAAGCTCTATCGATATATCTGGGTCTCATATTCAAAGTTTCATGGGAAGTTGAATGCCTTTCCTGGTTAGATGTGGATAACTTTCTGGAATTCATGAATCTCACCTTAACCTTCTTCCGGGAGGAATATAGATGATGTCACCACGTGAAACTTCGCGATAGTCTAGTGTCTTCAGACGTACTGATGACTGGGTCTAGAAAGGGGGAGCTTTCTCTGAGAAAGGGAGTAGTCACAAACTTGTTAAATTTGTCACTGAACAAAACAACAGTACCTTTGCAGAGCTTCCACTGGGCCCATCAACCTCCTCAAGGGCTGCTGAACCTCCTACAATCACCATAATGGAGGCGCAGTCCAGAACAGGAAGAAATGCATGAGAAACATAAGGAGACACCTGAAATACGCTGCAATAACATGTGCAGTAGAAAGAGGTTCAAGATTTTGATCCTTCTTATGATTCTCACCGCAACCTGATCGCTTTTGAAAAAGTGTTTGCAAGCCAAAAGCTAGGAAGACGCATTAGATGCTGACGCGCGGTGGTCCAACTTTCACCCACCTCCTCTACGGCTATTCATAACGTGACGTCGTCGAGAAGTCCTTGAGTATTTTTCGATTCCCTTTTCGAATTTACTTTTTTTTAGCAAAGTCAATAAATGATAAACCTATGCTCCACCTTTCTCGCTAACACAGTGCCTTTCAACCGATATCTTGTGAATGCTACCGTTCGTTCAGAAATCTGAGATTTTGAGGCGAAAAACTCGCAAAATCCTTTTTCGAGTTGGCCGGGATCATCAAGCTTCCTTCATTTAGCCGGTTCAGAAGCATCCAGAGGCCGTGATGTTTGATGATAAAACTATTGGTGCCATGTCTGTTGAGCGCACGAAGTGGGTCGAAATGCCCTTTAAGGAGCTTGGAAACTGTTGCTGGACCTCCTTCGTTATTCGTGGGCACTGCCGCCGAGATAACGCACAGGTTGACGTGCTCTCCGAGCGCAGTGCCGGCAAGCCCATCCATGTGCCCACATGTTTACCAATGACAGAGGAGTTCGTTGGTACCAGCTCTCAGTGAACGACACGTTTGCAGCGTTTCACCAACTCGTAAAGCTGGCTCTCAGTTGCAGTGCTGTATCGGCGTCAGATCTTCGGTTCTACGCACCCATTCCAGTGGTAATGTCTCTGTTTTACAGCAGAATTCCACTTCCTACTACCACCAACAAAATTGTCAAATGGTTATACCAGAGATAGGGGTAAAATCATTCTGTTCATGCGGAATCTCTCCGCATTAGAAGTGACGGCACTGAGATCACAAAATATTCCTCTGCTATAATTTTGCTTATTTTCGAAGCAATATTTCAGAATGGTTATTGTGCTCACACAACACTAGGAAGCTCTGCCAGTTTTCTCGCATTGCACCGGAAACTCTCCAAACCATAAAACTTCAGAGACCCTCGACATGAACCGCTCAGTAATGACAACGTTGCGTAAATACTCCATTCGAGCAGCCGTTCAGCGCAACATGTTGATGTTCACCACACTGAGACGAGTCTCAACTTTTTTCGTGGGCCAGCACGCCGCTCCGTAAATGGCGACTGGTCGGGCGACGGTTCTGTAGATCTTCGATTTCGAGTCGCTCTGGTGAATTCTCGTCGCACAGAACACCAGTCATTGAGTGCCATTCAGACCATTTCACTGTGGTTTGCTTCAGAAACCAGAATGCCGCACGTCATTCATATCCAAAATATGTACGTGAAGGTGATCGTGCGTGTAAGCTCAATTTCGCGAACCTTTTTAGAACCAGAGATTCGGAAGTCCTTCGCCTGGCTTCCGCCTGATTCCAAACATCGTAAGGCCATCAGACTAAGCTTGCACTTGTTGCTCGATTTAGTGTTGACTTCACAAGCGATCATAACGTCATCAGCACAAACATCCATACTACAGCTTTCCGAAGACAATACTCTCCATTTTGAAAACTTTTTCCTTGTAGGAACCACGGCAGGAGTGAACGCCGTGTCTCCTTACGCACTAAGGTTTTGGCAATTTCGTCGCACACTCGTTTGCACACGCTTCTTCCGCATTCTAAGATGGAGCTGCCAAAAGGGAGGAGCCCTTGTTTCTGAGCAGAGCTTCCTTTGTATATTTTGCTCTTTTCTTTTTACAGATCAGTTCCCAATCCCAACTGCATACGCTCTTCGCTCTTACACACCCATTCTATCACGGAGCCTGCCTTTGAAAGTTGACGGAATCGTCGTGACTTGCGCACGACCTCGAGCAAAGATGCTCCAAGGCCGCAGCGCAGCACTAGACCGAGCGTCGACTGGAAGACCCCTGGGTGTCTGCCGCCTTCAAATCGCCCGCGAAATTAATATTCAGCTTTGCATGATGCAATCACGCTGACTGGTTGCCTTCGCATTACGTCTTGCTTCGCTTCGGCTCTCATGAAGGACGGTTCGTTCTTGCTTCTTTGAAATCGTTAGCATAGGGCGGACCTCACATGGGCCAAAATATCCTCCTTTCGCATTATGATGTATGAATAGTAGTTCTTAACTTCATAATAGTAGCGAACTAGCCAGGGTTTCCCGATTAATAGTAGTAGTAGTAATTAATTAATAATAGTAGTATGTAGTTCTTTTAGTAGCAGTTAGTTAATACAAGGCGAGTTCATCTTTTTACGTAATTCATTTCCCATCGTATCAATATTAGTTTATTACTCATCGTAATGTACTTCAATTAGTCCATCTTTGCCTTGTCTAATAGTTTTTACAGGTATTTCTTGTTGTAGTATTGTGTTATGTGTACTTACTTATACCTTGGTCAATATGGAGCTCAGCAAGTACTTTGTTATGTCACATAAGTAACCTCGCGTTCGCATCCGCTCATATATCGCGTCACGCTTCTCACATACATCGCATATAACCCTGTCGAACATCAGACGGTCTACTTTCCACTCGATTCGCAGAACATCAGTGGCCCAGAAACATCAGGGTTTCTGTGCACGCGCAAGCACACAACTTGTTGGGGTCAGGGAAAAGGCCCTGCACATGAGCCCGCAGCAGGCACGCATCACAGAGCATTCTCGCGCACGCATTCCCTTCCGAGGTGTTGTGGGCACCCACTGGAATCCCACGTTTTGCCGGGTCCGTGGGCAGACCACCGATGCATCCGCTGGACCCCGTCCACGGGGGGCGACAGGAATCATTTGTAAAGTAGTGTAGTTCCCTATCTACTGTTTCCCACACCAGAGAATTCTTGTTGGGGTCATCTTCAAATTTTGCCAGAGCATGATCACTAATTATTCTACAGTCAGGTCATGATTCGTCATTGGTTGTAGCTCCACGCCTTCATCAATGCAGTCTCGCTTGTGCAGACGGCCTACACTACTCATGATTTTTGTCTGTGAACGTGAGTTCGGCGCTACCTCGACGCGAAACTTGCTGATCTTAGAGGTTGTTCAAAGAGAATCACTCACCCGTATCCTGTGCAGTTGGAAATCTTTGCAGTCTGGTGAGTACTCATCAACTCCGGGATAATCGGTTAGAGGAATGGCTGGTACGAGATAGTCTTCTGGTGGCGTCATACGGTAATTCAGCACCTATTTTCGTTTGTTTGCAGCAACCAGTGAAGCATGCTTGATAGCATTCAGAACTCACCTCGCACAATGCGTCCCTGTCAATGAACTTGGGAGTCATTGCAGCTCGAATTGTGTTGTTTGAGCAACCAACACATTCAACGCATTCTGAAATATTGGGTTGAGGAAAACAGGAAATCGAAGAAGTGGAAAGTCAAGGAAAACTTGAATGTGAATAGGGTTTATTGAAAGAAAAGTTTGAACAGTACCTCCGCTAAGATAGGCGTGCAGCTCTTCAGCAGCATAGTAGCAGCACTCCCCTGGTTTGAGAATCATATGATTCAGAATCAGTGGAGAAAACACACCAACGTCTCCCGGGAAATCAACGGACATCTTTTGAATCACTTTAACGGTAGCTTCGCTCAGACAACCACGCACTGAAAGAACAAATATTTTCAGAATTTTGAGTTTATGCCACCCGAATGCCATATCTCAGGGGGGGGGGGGCAAAAAAAGACATTTTGCCCTGTCGCACTTCGGCCTTTTTTCTTCGCAGAGATTGCCGTCGTTGACGGAAGTTCCTCAGCAAAATATTCCCTAAATGTCCCTCTATAAGTACACGCAGGCCCTCCTTCACTACCCTCACCGTCTTCAGAATATGACGTCATCTGTCACCGTCGTCGAGCTCAGGAGGCCTACAGTAACTGCTTCAGCCTGAAGCTCTTACATAATTTCTTGGATCGATTCAACGTGGGATAGTTTCCTAGGGACATTAGCTCTAACTATGCAAACCCCCTCGGAACCCGCCCTTTCGGAACCCGTCGTAACGGTACACGATCAGTCGAGAACCCCATTGAGCTCGACCAGAGCACCATGTTTCCGGGGCAAACTTTTCTGATGCCGTCCACGTAGATGGCCACTATGAAGATTTTCTTATGAAATGAAATGCGCTCTTCAATTCTAAGTTGGAGCACACGCTTTGAGCTGAGCAAAGTGTGATTAAATCCATTTGAGTCTGGAGACAAAATGTCTTTTTTTATTGCCCCCCCCTGTATTTTCATTTTTCGTACGTAATAATGGATGATTACATATTCAGTCGTGGAACGTACCCTTGAACCTGTCAGCTTACTCCGCCCCCACTCTCTTATTTCAGTGATTTCTATTCTACCTTCCATTTCTTCTTTTCACTGAGATTCCGGAATTCTACCCCAATCCCTTCATGTTCCTTCCTGAAGCTTTTCAATCCCGGACTCAAAATTGTTCAAATGCTCACCTCCATTATCAAGGCATTCAATCAGTTCATCGACGTACTCGCTAACGAGAGCCGGATGACGTCGAGTTTTCCATCATTTCCCTAAAACCAGTTGTCGTGTTTTGTTTTTGAGACATCAATGATGGAGAAGCGGATGACAAAGGAGTTTTTCAAGAAGTACCCGAAGCAGGCCGCCAACGCTTGTCGACATTTCAAAGAATGCGGATTCTTCTCTTTGCCCAAAACAATCCGCAGGTTCTCGCAATTATGACTGTCCATGACGTACCGTAATGGTGGAAAAGCTGAATGAGCGGAAAATTCAAGTGGAAATTATTCACCTTACTGAGCAGCTTCCTTCAGCAGGAAGTAGAAGTTACGCTTCAAAATCGCTATTGATTTTACGCGCGCAATGCACTGCTGTCGCACAAGGAATGATTGATATGAACATATTAACCCTATTTGTTTTATGGTAATAAATAGACTAAAGTTTGCACCTTCAATATTTGCAAGAATTTCGGCTGCTGGCCTGAATCCACATAATAGCTCAAACTGCGTGAGTGCATATGCGAGCTCTGGCTTGTGGTGTCGGTCTGGGTAGTGAATAGGATCACGCTCGTGTAACCGAACAGCCTGTTCCTGAAATAATGCTAACATAATAACCAAATAAAAATCATATAATATAATAAATTTCATTGAGTAGATTAAAGGCAGGTGATATGATAAATTGTGTGTTGGGGAGGGCAAATGAGCTCACCACAAAAAGAAATTTCGTATCCCCAAGGGAATGAAATGTGGCGCTTTCGTGGGCAAACGGCGCCCCATAGGGGTTGGTAGGGCCTATACATACATGGTTTGAGCAGGTCGATAGAAATAAAAGATTTGCAGGAATAGTTTGTCAGACTTTTCCAGAGGGGAACTAAAATTCTTCCCATTATCTGCTTGGCACTAATTCTTACCAGGTGAACCGTCCTTCGATCATTACGGATAATCGCTATGGAGACGGAAACATCACGAGTAATTCGGTGAAACTCCAGTTCGGGGGGGGGCACTCCATTTTTTCTCCAATACTCAAGATAAGGATTAGAGGGCTCACGACACGTAATCGACTCATTTAAAGTAGACTTCTGATAAGTATCGGTGTAATGTGGAAGAAACCCTGAGATGATTTCATATTTTCGCCTGTCTGGTCCAGGGAAACAGTCCTGGACCAGGAGAAAGGACACCTCCGCAAAGGGCTAAGGGTGCAGGAGCTCCAGGGTGGATCACCTGTGCAGAAAAGTGGATGGGATGTGGGCAGGTAGTGTGGAATGTAGGACATCCACCGGTCCTTATCAAAAGTACGCTCGAAATGAGTCGTTCACTTATTATCTTATCCGTAGTGTTCGATAGCCCAAAGAACTGCTCTCTAGTACTACGGATAAGATAGCAATGGAGTGGCCCCCCCGAACTGGAGTTTCACCCAGTACTTGCAAACGAGGCTTCTCGTTAAGCACAGTGCCAAAAGTTAAGGAACGGTCTTCCACCGTAAACAGGAAGGACCAACCTTATTAGGGTGTACTTGGAGACTGAGCGATCGAGCTATGGACATGACTTTCATGATGAAGGGCAGATGAATGTCTTCCTTCCAGTTGTTATTGCTCAGATAGCCGGCAGAATGACTTTTGGCGATGAACGATGAAAGGCGTGTGGCGGAATTTGAAAGCACCGCGGGACCATCGGGATGAGTGCCCATCCAGAGCTGAAATAGAGAATTCTCCTCGGTATTTCTGTGGATCCTCCACACAACAATCAGCTGCGACAGCCCCCCGCAACGATCTATATTTTCTAGGACGACACGTGGTCGCTGTTGTGGACGACAGTGCGCGGTTTGCAATTGGAAATCGATCTGTAGTACAGTTCGTTGTCGTAGAAAAACCTGTGTCGTTCTCAAAGATATTAAACCCCAGACGCGCTAAACCGATGGCAAAAATTTCACTGAGGTGAATCGCTGAGCCTACCCAAAAATTGTCGGTCACTCACCTCAGCGTAGGTCTCATCCTCGTCCACTTCGAAATTCTTGTGCCCGGCGGCGAACAGCCGCGCCACTTCGCTCTCGGTGCCTCGTTTCCCCCAGTTATACTTCTTCACGTGACACTCAAGCCGCTGCATCGCCGCCAAGGCTTACACAACTGAAAAAATGGAAAATGAGTAAATCAACCAAAAAAAAGTGCAAAAAAATCGCTCAGAGAAATATTCCAACGACAGATGGAAGAGGATCTCTAGATAGCGGTTCAAACAGATGAACCCGAAACAGTGATTGGTTCCGCTGATTTTGAGAGAAGTCGTTCCTGAATATGAGATTCCGCAAGAAATACTAGCCACCTCAGTCTATACCTAATACTGCCTTGGTTTTATAAAAAAAAAAAGGGGGGGGGGTGGGCGACATTTGCTACCGCAGGTAGGAATTTTAATTTCCGTAAATGATGGAAATCCTCTCCCATTGAATGGGACCTCTTCCTTGCATGGTCGTAAGCGGGTAAAGGGTTAAGCGTTGACCATATCTCTTCCCGGATGCGCCAAGCACCTTCCCTCCATTCGAAATCGCACTAGCTGTGAAGCAAGGCAGTGTAAAAATTTGCGCCTGGTCAGATGTCAGTCTACCGCCCTCGGAGAGAAAGAAGGCCTGGACGAGACTCCTCCCGTGAATGACTTCTGCACTATGCGCACAGCAAGTGGCGCCACTGCCCACTAGACCACTACCGCCCTTGTAGGTGGTATGTATCCCTACTAAATAATGCGCTAAGTCTGCATGTCTGTTTGGGAATGTGTGTCTGTTTGTCCGTCTTTCACGATTCGGTACTACCTGAAGAACCACCTACGGAGTCCAGGTCAAGCTCGGATGGGTGCGGCATAGGATCAGGAAGTACAAAACACTTGTCAGCTGGGCGGGGCTCCACCCACAGTGGGCGGTGCTGACGGCAAAAGTTTAGAAGACCCCGATGACCGGGAAAAAATGGTAAAGGGTGTTGGCCATTTTTGGGTCAGGATTGATAGAATTAGAAAGACCCGTCCACGGTGGACGGAGCATTCTCTAAATGGATGTTCAATAAAAATTCATAGTCGGCCAGAGGAAAGCTATGGGTGAGGGAAAGATAGGTTTGGAAGAGCAATATGTAAGGTGTCCGAACTGAGGGAAGCCAGTTCAGAGTAAGCAGTACTTAAGTGAGCAGTGTTTATTACGAATCCTCAAAGAGAAAGGAGTCTCAGAGGAACCGGGGACAAGTGCGAAGAGGTTAGAAAAGAAGGGAAGGTCAAATCTTAATTGCGGGCGTTTCCTGCATCTGAATGAGCTGAGCTATCTACGAAGCATTATAACTTGGTTCCAAGAAATCCTGGAAATCAGGAAACACGATTGTGGTTCCAACAAGCGATTGAGAGGTCAAATGTTCTGGTGGGTGGCACCGAGTTGGGCGGAGTTTGCCACAAATCTCCATAAAAAATCGTGTTGGCCTGTTTCAATACATTGTTGCCCGATGTGATTGACACTCGAATGTGAGCGCAGCCTTAAAGCTGATTTTCTTATTGAATGAAGAAGTGGAAAGAGTAGAGAGAGAGCTCGAGAAGTCTCGACAGTACCAATTGTCTAGCTGTTCAAATGATCGTCGCCCTTCAAATAAACCAGCAATCATATCATGAACACGACTTGATTGATTAAATGATCCGGTATGATTCACAGATCACCAACGTTGATGCAAAGAGCGAACTACAAACTACTTTCCCCCCCCCCCCCCCCCTCCCCCCTTCCGGAACGAATAGTTCTGTCACTTTAAGTAATTTTACCCTTTAAGAAAGTGCTTGCGTGAGATTTTTTAAAAGGCTGTTAGCTAGAAAGCTTGCTAGACAAAATTGATGGTAAAGTAGCGTGAATGGCATAGAAGAGGTAAAAGACGAAATAAAGGAGGGGTTTCAAGGAAATTCTATCAAACTTTCTCCTGAACAAGAAAAACAGCCTTTATGGAAGGCGCATTGCGCAAAATAGTGCCAGACTTCTGTCGATCCGTCATGAAATTAGAAAACCGCTGGCGAAACTGATAAAAAAAAAACAAAAGCAGGACGGCTATTGAAGACAAAACGATATCCTGGACGTTGTTTTGAAACAAGGGCTGAGATTCATCGACAAAAAAGAGCGGTTGGTGACGAAACACCTCCTGCAAACCACCGTAGTAATTTCCCCCAGCTGCGAATCGCTTAAATCCCAATGAAAATCAGAAAAGCTGAAGAAGAGGATGAAAAACAGTGGGTAGCTGAAGGTGTAGCGAATCGCATCCAATCGAATGAATTCAAATGGGCCTATCGTCCCGAAATATCTTTTATCAAGATACGTAAAGAATCGGTCGGAAATCCCGATCGAACTGGGTCACGCACCGACCGCACTGCAATGCAAGAGAACTACTCGCGGGAATTCAGTAATGTTCTTACAGCATTCACGAAACTTTAGCGCTAATCGATTTGTATGAGGCTGTTCTGCGGAAGAGTTACTGGTTAAGGTAACCCCAACTTTTTTGAGGGAAATTTGGTACATGACAGCTGTTCCTTGCTCTTGATGAACCTGACAATAGCAGTAGTGGGTGCTCTTCAGACCATACTCCAATCCTTCTATCAGGATGATAAGAATAGGATTACCATCTCCTTCGTTCTTGTAAAGGAGGGGGTGTACGGATGAGTGGAGTTGTGAAGCAGTAGCGCCTTATGTTTTTTGGTTACTTAGGCTTTTTAAAGGACCGCAGAACGTTGATATACGAAGTTATACGACACTACATTTAGCTATAAAATTCCTTATTCAAACTTGCACTTCAGAAAAACAAAACAAACAAGGCTAGCTTGAATCGAAGCAGTATTTGATTATCATGTCGACTTTCTTCACGGACAGAAAAAAAAAATGAAAAAAAGCATGATTTAGAGGGCTCGAACATTTCAGTCAACAGAGCAATAGCGTCGAAAATCATGGGGTCCTAGGGTCTCAGGACATCTGTCAACCGCGAGCCTTGGCGGTTCAGCGTTTTGTAGTGATGTCTGGGAGCTCTCACAAGTGCACACTATCAGCTCCTCTTTCTTTATCTTCTTCAAAAGGCTTAGTCCCAATAAGACACAAAGTGTGTGCTTTTCCAGCTACGCTCTCACCCTTTGGTTGACAGAAGCCTTGTAACCGGGGTCCTAGGGATGACGATGTTCCAATAGGGGCATATCCTTTTCGCTGATGCATACAACAAATTAATAGTATTATAGTTTAGGAAGGAGCGTTCAAGGCAAAGTCCATAGGAGTTTCAGTGAGAAAAGACCAAACAGAAGTAGATTATTTCAAGTCCTTTGGAGGTTTCAGTGAAGAGCACCAAACCGAATCATTGCATGCAATCTGAAGACCACGATTCCATCAACTTCACAAGGCATTCAAGAAGGATGAGCTATCGAGAAATCCTTTGTCGAGAGGCGGAGCTCGAGGAACGGGGCAGGGTTTATTCAACGAGAGAAGCTGAAAACTTCACATCTAATTTCGAACTATGCACCAAGAAGTTTTATACATTGCGAGGATTTGATCCACACAACATGCGCTTTGTTTTTATGCTAGTCACCATCGCCTCTGTTCTTTAGGAGAGTTTGCAAAGAAGCACATTTATTCAGACGGCTTTTGTTATTAGCAACCATTTAGCCACCTTTCCATGTACAAAATTTATCAAAAGATACTGAGTTGTGGTCAAAACACGTCGCTCTGGGAGAAATTTAAACCACACCTCTCGATTTTGTGATTCTGAGGATTTTTCGGCTACCTACTTTATTCAGAAAAAATTAAGGATTTCTACGAAGTACATGGCGTCAAACATTCATTATCTCGCTGGTCAATGTAATATTGCCTGATATTCCAAAAAAGTAGGGGAAATTGACGGCTTGATAAGAAGACCAGGGCTGCAAGAAGAGTCTTCTGTGCCTAATATACATATTCATTCCATTTCCAGATCTATCCACGCCGCCATAAATCAATCGCACGTGAAATTTGCAAAGATAGAGGATCGAAGACGGATACGGCACGAATATAACGGGTGTTTCCAGTTGCAAAGATCAGAGACGTTCAAGCAATGAGATCGACTCTAGCCGGGTTGATACAGCAACTTCCATTAGGGCGGGGGGGGGGCAAGAATCAAAAGTAAGGACGGAACAGAGGTGAAAATCCAAGGCTTACTGACGCCGTCATATGCCTTCCTCACTCAAAAGCCACCTCAGAAGCTTATTCTATTTTCAGAACAAGCAGCCGCTTATTGACGAAAAACACCGTGGACAAGTTTTAGCAACGACATCCCGGCTTTCGATTTTTATAAACTTTTTTGTTTGTTTTTTTTCCCTTCGGTCTCTTCATTATCTCCTCAAAGCGGCAACTCTTAGGCCGATGTCAGACTTTGCGAATCGCGCGATTCGCTAGCGTCCGCGGTCGCGTTGCGGTACCAGCCAATTGAGTGATTCACTGGCCGCGACGCGACCGCAGACGCTAGCGAATCGCGCGATTCGCAAAGTCTGACATCGGCCCTAACTAGAGAAATCCACGAACACAAGATGCGGTTTTGAACTTGATTTGCCAAAACTCATTGTACGAACTTCTGTGAAAGAATAAAAGAGTTGAACAACCGTTTGGGTCAACCTCCTCCAGGGTGCGCCACGCCAGTCACTTGTATACATTGTAATGTATCAGCGAAGCGGTAGCTATCATTACCACAGCCATGATGCGCGATACCGAGCTTACCCCAAATGGAAGATTTTCTTCTTCGGAGAAGGTGGATGCTCTTCACAGATCACGTCCCTTCAGCTCCCTGCGATCGTCAACCACGTGGTCATATACCCTCGCCTTCAAATGACCAGAAATTGTGCAATTGCAGAAATTGACGTGGCATTAACGTGGCATCGATTCAAGAACATCTTTGAGCACACGTGATGTCACCTTTTCATCGAGAATTTAGCCACGTGTGCCAATGCCACGTCAATTTCTGCAATTGCACAATTTCTGGTCATTTGAAGGCGAGGGTACCTCTACAATTTCGAGCAGTAACTAATGCGTGACGCACTTCGGAGGGGCTGTAGACTCCAAACCACTTATGCTCTTCGCAGAGACGTATGGTGAGGCT